TTCCTTTGAGTAAGTATGAATGTCATTAAATCGTGATTAATGTAGGCGTGGAAGTCTACAACAACACATGAACCACACCCCTTGGTTGGCAGAAACATACATCAAAGGAATGGAGATAGAAGAAAATTCCAAAAATAAGTTGTTTATATATAGCAGCAAAGAGGCTCCTCACTGATTCATAGGTGTCTATAGCAGAAGTAGCAGCTTGAAGCATAGATGTAAGAAGAACTGCACAGTTGCTTTTTTATGCTTTTCTTCCTTTTGTTTGTAATGCATTCTGCCAACCAGGGGAGTGGCTTTAACCAGGCTCCACCTTAGCTAATGTGAACTGAAGGTAAGAGGTAACGGGCAGGTTATGTATAATGTAGCAAAAATTTATTCAATTCAAATTTATTTTGTGAAAAGTTACATGCAATTTTTAAATAACAGTAATTTGGAGCAATAAAGTACAGCAGAGAGATTAAACCAACAATATGGTGTAGATACAATGGTGACACCTTCATAATGCATAAACTAATGGTTAACTAGTCGAATGCAATGCATTAATTGGGCAAGCTTGAGTCAGTCGTGGTATTTTACGCTGACTCTGCTGCTAGCTAGGCTGTTTCTCTAGTTAAATCTGAATCTGGAATGCCATCATAGTCCTATGAGCAAGAAGAGCATCTTTTTCATCCCAGCTGGGTCATTGAGGTTGATCTCAAAGTTTCTTCTCGCTCCATGCATGCACATGTGTTTTTACAAAATTTCATTAGAATGATGCTACCACATTAGATTATTGACAGTTATTGTAGTGCATACATGGGGCATGACGAGAAGATGAAGACGTATATGCACATATACATACATACAAAAGACTCCAGCTACAGTGGGGCTCACCCAAGCTCGCCCCAATTATGTTTTTGTAACATTTTAATGGGCCCAGATAGTCAATAAAACTCACAATGGAGGAAGAAAAAGATATTCACATTTCATTTTTGACTGTTACTGCGAAAAGAGAAGGTTCACAAATACTTAACTTGTCATTCACATCACCATCAAAGGGTATTGTTTGGGATTGTGAGGTGTTTAAAACACAGAACTATCAATGTGTGTGTGATAATAAGAGACTTGCAGATGAATTAAGCAGGACTAGCAGGTGTTCTGTGCTAATTTCTTCTAGAAAAAATGATTGATCCTATTATAAGGTGAAGCCCACTAGTTCAAGTAGAGTATGTATGTCTTCACTCCTATTTATC